ACCTTGCTTGATGAAAGTGAGGAGGACTTGAAGCACGTGCTGATGAAGGTCAAGGATTACAGCCGTCAGTATGAATTATAACTCAATGTAAAGAAGACCCAGTCCTCACAACTATACCCCCCAAAATTCAAGTGGCTAAGTATTTTGTCTTGCTTGAATCCACACTCAATACTGATGGAAGCAGCAGTCAAAGATTAAAAAGATGCATTGCATTGCGTAAATCTGCTGCATGAGTCTAGAGTACAGGTAAAAGGAAGGATGTTACATTGAGGACTAAATTGCACCTGACCAAAGCCATGATATTTTCAATCACCACATATACCTGTGAAAGTTGGGTAGTGAATAAGGAAGACCAAAGGAGAATCACTGTTTTGAATTATGGTACTGGTGAAGAATATTAACTGTATCATTGATTGCCAAAAAGGGGAACAAGCTGTCTTGAAAGAAGTACAGCCAGAATGTTCCTTACAGGCCAGGATGGAGAGACGTTATCTCATGTACTTAGAACATGCTGGAACACGGTCAAGAGAGACCAGTCCCTGGAGAACGTCATCATGTGTGTCCAAGTAGAAGGGCAATGAAAGAGAGGAAAACTCTCAATCAGGCGGATTGATACAGTGGCTGCAACAGTGGGCTCAAGCACTAGAACAACTGTGAAGATGGTGCAGGGTTGGGTGGGCTTGTGTGGGCTGTCACATAGCTATCCTTGAGCAAGTGGTACAGGATGTGTGGCTTTCACTTCGGGTTCAATGTGCTTGGAGGTGAGCGTGCAAATGGGCAGTGTGGCCAAAGTGCCTCTGTACCAGACAGGACTAAGAAAAGATTAGCAAAAGGAATAAAGTAATAACAATATAAAATTATAAAGAACATGTAAAAAGAATAACCGACAAGAACTAGAAATAAAAATAGCAAAGAAAAAGGAAAGATGGACCAAGGGAAGAAAAGAGACAAATATGTACATGTGAACTAGTGAAGAGGAGAAAGTAAAGAGTAGAAAAATAAATAGTAAATAAATACATGCTAAAGAATAAAAGATAAAGGAGTAAAGGGCAAATGAAAAGAGAAAAAAATAAGTAAAAGAAAGCGAGAAAAAAAAGTGGCCAGGGTGGGCAAAAGAAGGAAAGGGAGAGGACTCTAGAGCAGGGCGCCCGGGAGAAGTTGGTGTATTTTGTTAGCCTGGGAGATCACGAGGGGCAGAATTCCTGTTTCCAGAAGTTTCTGCCAGCCTGGATGACAAATAGGGACAGAGCACCTACATCCATTAAAAAAATCCCCTCTGTTGGATGTATGGCATCTAGTCACAGAAGGATTTCCTGCATTACCAGAGGGCAGCTGTGGAAAGCTCACGTGGTCTTGTACTGTTCTTTGGGCTGGCCCACAGGGGTGGAGAACACATGCCTCAAAGGTTGGGGTTGTGCCATCCTAGCACCTGCTCCACGCGGGAGCACCTTCAACCTTAGACAAAGTCAGGTGTGTGTACTGCAGGCTTCTCTGGCTGCTGGTGGAGTAGAAGTGGGGCTGACCACATTTCTGGCCACCAATGGGGTGAAGCGCATCAGGGGAAGCGTGCACCTTTCTGACTCTAGGTACTGGGCTGGGTGCTAGTGCAGTCCTTCCGACTCTTCTTTTCTGCTACTCCAGGTGAAGAGAGACCAACCGTTGCACTCTGAATGGCCACACTTCTAAGACACCAGGCAGTATTCCACAAAGTAGGAGGTAGAATAGAAACACTGGTCACATGATTAGGCCGATGAGATGGGATGTTCTATGAAACCATAACCCTGAACTTAAAACCAAGAGATTTTTATTGTACCTAAGCCACGTCTGCAGGTCAGCAATTCTAAAACACCTGCCACTCCTCAGGAGAAAGACAATGCTTTCTACTTCCATAAAAAATTACAGTCTCAAACGACAAGGGCAGTTGTATTCTGCCTTACAGGGGTCCTATGAGTCAGAATCCGTTCAATGGCAGTGTGTTGTTTTTTGTTTATTTTTTTTGGGGGGGGGATTCCTGCCAGTTTATTATCCCTTTGTGAAACACAACAGAGTTATTTGCGCTAATTGACAATTTTCATCACTTAATGCTTTCATGGTTGACATTTCAATTAAAATTATTTCAGTTAACCTTGGATCTTCAATGTGCCTAACATACTCCAAAAGCCATGCTAGAGAGATGTGATATAGAAACTCCACTAAGTGAACTGGGCTCTACTTCAAACACACCTGTAACCTGAGAAAAGAAGGCTGAAACTACATGGTATGTGAAGAAGAAGAGGACAGCTATACCAAGAGTATTGAACGGTTTGTAGGCAGACTAACATTTACTTATCACTTCAATGCTCTACTTGTTTTATTAAGATATGTATTATTCTGGCCTCCCTGCATCTAACATTGCTAGTGTGTATTATTGTAAATTTTGCCTGGTCACTGATTCCCATTGTTTGTGTACACAGTATCCAATAATTTAAGGACTTAATCTGTACAAAAGAATAATCCATGTAATGAGATTTGTAGTTGGCCTAACCTTGTTTAATCTCCTTTCTCAACTGTATTTTAAATACATTACCATGGGCTAAATCAGAGACACTATAATCAGAAGAACCTTATGCTTCAGGGAGATACCATAAAATAATAAAGATGACTTTAAGGTGAACAGGAGTCAGGTAGAAAACATAGATTTAGGAATGGATTTTGAGCTCTCACCTAATCCTAGCTCTAATCTAATAACAATTAATTCTTCAGATATGGCCTTGCTTGATACACACCTGCATGAAGGAAAAATGGAAGATATATGGGTGCTACTACAGCAAAGTGTGGGGAAGAAATTAGATGGTGCCTGGCTATAACAATGAACAGCACCTGGGGTATTAAAGTCTTGTTTTCAAAGAAGTAATCTCCGTGAGACATCAACTCAACCCACATGGAAGGACACTGTCAGTTACATAGTTTCATGTGAACTTGAAGGGTAGGGGTGGCTTTTAGCCTGTCAATCAGGTCACAGCCTGATGGTGTAGCTTTTTCATAAGGAGGTGTAGCTTTCTCATTAAGGAGAGCCCTGAGAACCTCCCCTTCTTTCTCTGCCTTCACTTTCCTGCTGGCTGACCATGGTTGCTGCGAGGGACCTGGATGTGTCCACCCCATTGGATCCACACATCTCTGCACCCACCAAACTGTGGTATTCGGGCATTCTGCATCATTGCTCGTGACTGTGAGTTTGAAGAGGGACTTATGGACTAATAGAGTTGGACTGGGTTGGGATGCTTTCTCAGTATATAATTACTTCTTGATATAAAGCTCTTTCTTACACGTATATAAGTGTCAATTTTTCTTTGTTTTTTTCTGCATATGAAACCCAGGTTGGGCAGATGTATAGAGACAATAACTAGAATAAGGGTTCCTGGGGGGTAAAGCAGGGGCAGTGGGGGGTGCAATGGGAGGCTGACCCCAAAGCGAACAAGAAGGAAAAAAAAAGTTTTGAAAATGATGGTGGCAGTGATTCACAACACTGTTCAATATGACAGTGTGATGTCTGGATTACGTCCTAATAAATGGTTTGAAACAAAAATTATTTCAATTAACTTCAGTTTCACAAGTTCAATTTCTTGCCATAGCTTATGAATGAAAACATTTGTAAATTTAAAGTATCTTGTGTCAAATTTCCAAATCAAATATTTTGTAATGCTTTTCCTATATAAATTTCACTTTTCATTTCTTTTTAAATTTTTTGTTGTTGTTGTTGTAAACTTCACTTTTCAATGATCAGATCAATGGCGTTTAAAATTAATGTTACCTAAACTCATATCAAAGGGGTCGTGGTGGCTCAATGGTCAGGTGCTCTGACAGAGGAAGGTGTAGCAGCCTGCTCCTCTGGAGATCACGAGCTTGGATACATTAGAGGGTTGCATGAGTCGGAAGCAACTTGATAACAATGAGTATAATTCATGTAGTTCTAGAAACACAGGGTATTGTATAGCAGACGGGAAAATGAGCTGTATGATATTGCTACATACTGAGGAAAGAAATCTGGCACTGTCCCTACATTCATTCCTGAAAACTTATCTTCTTGCTAAAACCAGATAAATTACTCATTATTGCTAACTTCTCTGAATTCTTTTACTTTATCTATTATCTATCTATCCACACATCTTGTCTGGGTTTCTTGAAAATAAAGTAAACAGGATATGCTGAGTTAACATAACTATACTTCTAAAGGGTAAAAGCATAGACCTGAAGGTTACTTATTTCAAGGTGAGATTATTATTATTTTCTCTACAAACTACCAGGTGGTACTTATATTCTAAATACTATGCAATGACTAAGGTATATAGAAGGAATTCTGGTGGCATAATAGTTAAGTGCTGAGCTTCTAAAGAAAAGGACAACTATTTGAATACACCAAGCAGTTCTACAATAGAAAGATCTGATGATCTACTTCCATAGAGATTACAGGGTTTAGAAACCCTATGGGGTGAAGTCTGTTCTGTCACATGTGGGATTCATAAGCTGAAATTGATTTAATAGCCCATAATAATAGAAAGTTATCCAGATCAATATAACAACAATAATAAAGCTTTAACATATTAACCATTTAATATAAGATTGTATCATAGGTTCTCCAATTCATTTGAGAGAAGAAAAATTACTCAGTGCCTCTCTGACAATCAAAAACTTTTGTATTATTGCCCATAATCCAGGATAAAGTGTAGGTATCTGTTGGGGTATAGTATTGCCCACTTTGAGAAACACAGGTTTAGATGCCAGTTTGGGATAGTAAAGAGAAGACTGTATTCAATTTCCTAAAGTCCTTTCTTTCTTGTTACTGGTGTAAGTGCTGTCTCCCTTAAATGCTTTGTGAGGCTGCTGGGCATCATAACTACTGGCATTTACTTCCAGCTCTACCAATCATAAAGTGCTGGGTATACTTAGCTATTACTGTTACAGTGCCACTTCTTAAGGGCCAAGGTTCTCAGAAATCAAAGAATTGCATGTAGCAGATTTACCAATTCTTCACTTTCATATTCCAGGTTATACTGTGCTTCGTCTTCTGACACTGGTTTCTGAACAATGTTTCTGCAGATGAGCCAGATGGTCAGACTGGCAAAGAACATCCCGATATCAGGCACAAACACTCTGATCCCATTTCCAGCGTCAGCTCCCTTTAAGCTATGAAGGAAAAAGAAAAACAAAGAAACAAACAGGAGGAGGGGAATTTAGTTCTTCATATAATT